GAGAAGAAAAGTAATTCCGTCACAAACTAGAAAATAATTTCACTATCTATCGACACGTGACTCAGATAAGAAATAGTGTGGAGGCGAGGGGGCAGAGATGGCGCTAGCAGATGGGGCAAATCCGTATCAGCCACACACATACATACCTACGTACTACGAAGCACTCTTCACTTCACTCGTTATACAAGTCGTCGGCCCCCTTATATTGAAGTGATAATATGATATTATTCGCTAAATGCTAGTCCTCATCCCATCATAAAAACTCGTTGCCATATAGCAATCTTGAGACAGCCTTCATGATTGTAAAAAATTCATATGATATCCGAAATCCATTCGCTAACGCCTTTCCGTCACAACAAACTCAAATTTTGTCTCTCATTCCATTCTTGTGTCGTCTCTCAAAGAAATTCATGGTATCGTTTCTCGTTACTAATCGCAAGACGCGTTGCATAGGTGCTTTGAACTGAAATCCTGTTAGAATGTCTCTTCTTGATAACAGTGGAGATATAATAAAACTTACTGCTGTTCAACGAAAGCAGTTGAGTCCGCAAAGACGCATACGCCAGACAGGTTTTCTGACACCATGCCTATCTGCACTAATGTTTGCACCGAATCTTCTTCCTCCAACTCCTTTAGACCAGAATAAAGGCATAGTTGCGAGTGATGTGGTATGACCGTATGAGTATGTGACTTGGCTTGTTGTGTGGACAGTGGCTGGTAAATAAGATGGAGATATCGCTTGTGTTTGGGTCTAGGTTTGTGGAATATTGTGGTAGATGTTTGATATGGGGGGTATTGTTGATGATAAATATATCCAGATTATTCACACGATGTGGCTGGCAGTAGATGATGCCGATGACCTCTTTGGGTTCTCAAAACCTGTTTGCTGGCTTGGCACAAGAGATGAACGGGGCTTTGCAATTCTCAGCCCCTTTGAGCTCCAGAGAACAACAAACAAACTTTGGGCTATTGTTTCATTATCTTCATATCAAGTTATTTGACTGAGTACACTATGATTTCCCTGTTTTCAATCCTGAGCTAAGATATGCAACAGACGGTAAGTTTTGACACTTGCTTGAAAGCAATTGAACCCTTTATGGATACGCTAGCTATTATTTTCCGAATGATTATATCTACCTACCACACCAAGAAAAGTTAATGAGGATTAGCCCCAAATTCCCATTGTAAATATTTGGTGCTAACTTGGACACTTGATAGCTTCATGGTTTTATTGTCAATCCTTAATGCCAATTTCTTGCTGAGATACTCTGCATTACATGACTCAGAAAAAGCATCGTGGACATCTAAATTTATCTTAAACAGTGAAAAAAAAAGCTATGATATCATCTTCAAATACCTACTAGGTAGGTAGGTGCTGTCATGAAAGGTCGGAAATACGGTTTGACATTAGAATACTTTACACTGAACAGCCGAAACCCCCTTTTTGATATTATGTATATGGGCATTTGAAATCTTCAGCTGATTATTGATGGGGTTTCCGATTCAATCTTGTTCGGATATCAGTGTAGAGTATGACTGCATAGCGATCGCCCCTGAGCATTACCGTCCCCCGCGTGCGAGCATAGCCAGCCCTATCAAAACATGGCCCCCAACTTTTGATGGCCTAATCGTCGGCTCCCTAATCGGGAAAAAGCACTTGTTACTTTGATACAGTGGTTTCTAATGTGTTTTTCATCAAAATAAGAATGCATTGTCACAAAATCCTTATTGAATGTACACAAATATTGATTTGGAAGCCAATATGATATACTCCACAGCTATTGCTGGACTCGAATCAAATGAGACAGTTCAGGGATAGTGATTGAAAATTACTAGTTCAAAGATTAATCGAGGGAGTTGAAGTGACAAGTGCTTTCCCCAGCCCAGCTAGGAACTACTCGGCCACTCAAGAGATTCGGCTAGAAGGAAAGGACGTAAAAGAATGGTGTGGAGAGAGATTAGCGAGATATAAGAAATTAACTGGGGGCGTTAAGTTTGTAGAGGCTATTCCGAAGAATGCATGTGGGAAGATCTTAAAGATGATGTCGAGGGAGCAAGCGGATAAAGAGGGTAAGATGGCTAGACTTTGATGGTAGATTGCTATAAAGTGATAAATTGTACGATTGTACGATAATCCGGGATTTAATGGCAGTTTTCGCGAGGGAAAAAAAGATATGCAATGAAGTCTCAATATTTGAGGCAAAATAGGTTATTCTTCGTTTCTAAACTTTGTTCAAAGAACCCCTACAAGCTTCATCACATGTACGCCAACTTCCATGTATTTCTTAATTGTGGAAGTTGGAATGACTTAAATTCATATCCTAACAATATCAAAAGCATTATATTATCACTCAACATTGAGTTCTCTGTAGATAACTTCGTTTCTTCATAAGAGCTATTTATTATACATGAAGAGATCCTCAAATCCCCTTCACCTACTCCTCTTCCATCAAGGCATCATCCCAGTCAGGCCGCTTCTCTGAAGCTCTACCCACGATACGTCTCTGTTGAGTGTGATTCTGGAATTCGGTTCGTCTACTATACCCAAGCGTCGGATTATTTTCGAAACCGGCCCCCTTGCTTGAGTTTTCACTGTGAGACTTATCATCTAAGTCCTCAATATCTTGATCACCATCCTTGACGAAAGCAGAGGATCTTTCCCTTTGGAATCCAGCCTAAAGTTTGACCTCATCGAGCCCCTCGTTCTTAACAAATTTGAGGTTTGACGAGTCCATATCCATGGAGCGCTTTCCATCACACAACCCTCTTCTGTTTATACCTGTCTGTCTATCGAAACCATAGAGGGCCTCCTTATACATGTCTCCATCATCGTTCTCACCACCCGTACCATAAATCAACCTCAGCATTTCCTAAGTCATTTTGTGTCGTTTCTCCTTATTAGTTCGCGGGTAGCGATCAGAGACTGATGGTTTCCCGCTCTAGTCGAGTTCCGTGGAGATGTCTTCCGAAATTGTGTATGTGGTTTTCTGCGATGCCAGTGCCGATATTTCCACCAGCACATCTTCTACTGGTAATGGCACATGCTCATTCACCAGAACTTCACCAGTATCTACGCGTGTTAGTATGTAAATATAGTAACAATAAAGATACATATATGGACCGTCAGTGACAATTTCACCGCATGACCAACATCTCTCTATCGCAATCAATCTCCGGTGTGGCAGGTAGAATGCCGATCAACTTTCGCATCAAAATTATCAACTTTGCTTTGAAATCTCCCGATTGTTGTTGTGCTTCAGGGGGTTCGAGAAGTTCTGTGATTTTCTTCACCAGCTTCCATTCCTCTGCAGAGTGTTCTATAGCGTTTGGGTCTTCTGGTGGATCGCGCCCAAGATATCCACCTATCGTTTCGATCATTGCAGCCGTTTCATTCTGTATTTTCTTTCTGCAAGACTTGATACCCTTCGCTGGTAACTTTCCTATCCTGATTGTCTCCGTTTCTCTTGTGATGGATTTATGGCGTAGAGCAGTGTTTCCTTCTCCCCATCAAACATCCCCTCATAGGCTTGCACAACTCTTTCCATGTTGTATCGGGAACGAGTTTTGAATCTTAACTTGATGATTATGGGAGAGTTTGTAAAGTGAAAACAACAAGCCGAAGAGAAACTGTAAATGCGGTTTCATTGGAACGAAGTGTCACAAAGTGAATTATGTGATATGAAGTTGTTTTCAAGCAACCTCCAACAATCAAAAAAATATGCTATCACTTTCTCGGGGTACGGGTTGAAGCACGGAGTTGACAAACGAAAGGGATACCAGTGCGTCCAAATACATCCTATTTCATCCATTGCAGCCGAGAAAGTACAAAAGAAATTGATTGAATCTGGAAGTGGAACTGGAACCGAGTTATAACCAGACTCCCTAATTCCGTCCCTATCAACAACCCAGCAAGAGCAGGAACTTCTATCCGATGAGAGTACATTCGCGCCTTGGTCGTAGATTTGTGTCTTTCAAACACGGGCGCAGTCGACATCACCAAGGCCCCGATATCAAGAGCGATGAAGGAACTAACAAGGGGATGCCAGTAGGCAAAGAAGTACCAATCAGTCCAGAGAAATTGAACCATCGAACCGTAGTCCCGTATTCAGTGTTGTGGTTGAGGTTACTGAGGAGAAGCCGAAAGGAGGTACAAAGCTCTATGGTTTGCTTGGAAGAAAGATGGACTGTCTGTACTAAACATTGTAGCCCAAAACAAAGTCTTCTCATTCTTCAACGAATGCCAGAATGATAGTCCTTCTCAAGCCAAAAGGGACGTCACCTAGATAGCAAATGTCAAAAATCACTCAGTCCTCGAAGCCAAGACAAAGAGCTGTCTGGAAGACAAGTATTGATGCGAAGAGCAAGGGGCACCAGCAAGTTGATATGCGAATCAAAGGAAGGTCACAGTAGTGCTAAGGATAAAGCCGCATAGAAGATGTTAAGTGCATCTCTGGTCCGGTCATTATTTTCACAGATCACTATCAAGCATGGTAGCATAATCAAGATATTTGAGGAAATGATCCGACTGAGGGAAATGTGGTTGAATCGCGCATCTCAGTAGGCCCTGCGATGGTAGGAAATTCCGGGACTGACTGGATGTTTGTACCTTGAGCATTAGTTTATACAATGAAAGTTCGACTTCAGACGTAGTATTGATTATTGAAAGCACTTTGAACGGCAATGCAAGATGGCATAATTCGCTTTTTGAAAGTAACTCGCAAACTTCAAGACGTATGGACAAAATGTGATCGCCAAATAGTTTGACTAATAATAAACCCTTGTTAGGGGTAGTCTAGTCAGAAAAAAGGAAGAAAAAAATAAGGCGATGATTAATACACTAAAAATGCGCAAATCGATTTAAACAATCTAAACATCTAACTTGCCATACTAATAATGGTTCCCATAATTTGAGTGAACATTCATCGTTTTCCCACATTCCACTGTTCCATCTCTTCGTACTAACAGCAGCATCGCATCAGAATTACTTGGAAAAGAGCAAGTGTCACTTTTGATGGAATTTTATTTGGTACGAGCATTTGCTAGTGATAATTTAGCTCTTGTTCACATTGAACAAGAAAGCCCTTCAGATACTAACGCCTCTATGTTTGAACGCCGCCCTTGCAACATTCGCACCTAACAACACTTGTATAACAATATTGACTCCAGGCACCGCGTGGCAAATCCCGTTGTGTCAAAATAACGGAGCAAGGTTCTCAGGCTTCATTCATTCTGGTATCATAGCCCCTGAGTTCTTATATGTCTTGCTATCACTTTTCTTCGGGTCTCTCTTCCTCCCATAGTATATCTTGGATACTCATCTCGAGAAGAATCTTCCAATCGTAGCGCTTGCAATATTTCCCGCAATTCCTGAAGAATACATAGCACTGCCCGCCAAATTCGATGCTTGTCCAAACTTATCACATCTCGAGAACGCCAAAGTATTCGTAACTGTCAAACTCAATGCAATCACTGCGAGACCATACTCGTTAGCGATTTCCTTCATGCGTCATCTCGTTTCCATCCTTCTTCCATACTCATGGCCGCCTGCAACCCGAACAAAAGGCAGAACTTACCGATCAACGTCAACCAAATAAACTCAAACCTAAAAATGGCCACAAAGGCTAATCCAACCCATAACAATGGTTGCGAATAAAGTGCAAGCCAGAAGAATCTGCTATCCGTAGGGTTTATGATTTTCGTATTTGGATCCGAGGATTCAAAGACCCAATGCGAATCACCAGATGCAGGGTCTACTTCATTCCACCAACGCAATCCAACGAGGCGACGACCGGCGATATTCTTTAGGTAGTAAAAATCGGCAGCGAGGAGCAAGATGGTTATTATGAAGATCATGACACTATTTGAATTAGAGGGTCAATTGACGAATCTAGGAACGGAAGACATACAAGTTTTTAATGAAGAGCATTCCGAAGAGGTATACTAGGAGACTTGCTATTTCTAGGAGTTAGCGATGTATTCATAATAGCATATCCAGCAATCCATCCAGAACAACTACAACTCTCGAAGCTCAAATCAAACAATGCGCAAACCTACAAATGCGAAATCCTAGGAAACACAACAAAGTAATAGGATGTGAGCTGAGACGCCAACTCAACGACCCGGCAGATTCGTTCTGTTCCATGATGAAAGAGGTCTGTTTTATCAAAAGAGCGTAGAAGTTGAATTTGTTCAAGTGTTGATCATGAACACCTGCATCTACATGCTCAGGTACTCGTAATCGTCGTAAGGCCAGAGTAGCTAGGAGCTTAAGGTTTGACCCCAGTTATGGCGCTAGCTGGGCGGTGGATGATGGCAGTATATTTCGGGTTGACCTCGTCTCTCTTCATGAATCACCAACAGTAGACGTACATTCAAAACACTACACTCATTCATTTTATAACAACATGTTGTCATAAATATATGTATGACATAGCCATAATACTTCATCAAGCAAAATCATATACTAATAACCTCGTTACATCCGGTGATCCTCTGCGTCAGATGCGTCCTAACCTAGGCAGGTGCCTAGAGGTTCTCTGAACAAGACATCCTCCAAGATTGAATGCGCCCCCGTCCGGCGCATAAACACTGTCAGACATTCATCGTTCACCTACTCCACTTATTCTTGACACTTCACTAACATCACAGTATATATATTACATCACATTGGTTCATTCTCATATATGGTTTTAAAAAAACCTCGATTTAAAATGACATACTCGAAGTAAAGTACCGACCAATCGTACAAAAAGACGCAGTCTTTAGATTCTATTCTAACTTGACCCCCTCCCTGCCCCCCAAATCACTCCATTCCCCGCTTAATGTCTCCAACTTCTTCCTCTGATCTTTCTGATGGGATTGGCAGTAGAAGTGGAGTTGAGAGTAGTTCCACAAGATCCGAAGCCGGGTTGACAACCGGTGCCACACCAAGCATCACCAATTCCACAGAATCCGTCCTTGGAGCAACATGGACCAAAGCCGGAGCCGGTACATGTTTTTTCTGCAGAACAGAGACCGTCGACCGAGGCCTGAAGGGCTCCGGAGCTGGTTCCTGAAGATGAGGGAGAGCTGGTGCCTGATGTTGGTGAAGCTGGTGCGGATGTTGCGATGATGGTGGCTGAGCTGAGTGTAGATGAAGCTGCAACGGTTGGGAGGATTACGATGGAAACTGGAGTTGTGCTTGAAGAAGCAACAGGTACTGGAGCGGATGGCGCACCAACTGCCGGGGCAGATGATACGGGAGCTGCTGGAGCACTGGAGATTACACTGCCTGCACTTTCTGCACTTTCTGCACTTCCTGCACTTCCTGCACTTCCTGCACTCTCTGAGGCTGAGCCCGATGCATCAGAGCCAGATGAGGCAACACCATTGACAGGACCACAAGTTCCGGTGAAAGTACCTGAGTCTGAAGTCTGGCGTGTAACATCTGCATCTGGGCCTGGGTTTGGATAGTTGACGGCCTTACCTTCTACAGATGTGCATCCATTGCCAAGGTTGACAAGGAAGAGATCGGGACGGGCAGAAAATGCGACAGCTGGAGCAGCGCGAGCTTTTGTGCCTTCGATGGTGACGGCAGCGCAAGACATGTAGAACTCGCGGTTACCGATCTGATTTTGCCAAGTCCAAGCGAACATTGCTTCTCCGGCTGGGGCGTCGGCAGGAACAGTGAAATCGGCGCTTGAGCTGAATGCGGTAGGACAGCTTCCGATGTAAGAATGGATGACCTTGAATGACTTTCCAGAATCGTAGGAGAGTGCGACTTGGCAGGATCCTCCACCGTGAATGGCACCGGTTCCGATGGTCCAGTTTGCGGTTTGACCTGCGGACCAAGTGACGACAGATTTTCCTCCAGCCGTACCCATGTCGTTGTACTTGCAAGGGAAGTTTGCACCGGTGGCTTCGAGTGGAGCGGTTATGCTGTAGTCGATTTGAGATTTGACGGAGTTGGGGTTGAGCGCAGAACGGAAGGGAAGTGGCCAAGTCATGGACATGTGTGCGTTAATGACGAAAGCGCAAAGGATTGCTCCGAGAGCGAGGCTGTTGGCGAACTGCATCTTGATAGTAATGAAATAAGTTCTGGTTATTTGTGTGTGTAGTGTGTTGTGTTTGCGACGTTGATGATCAGACCTGCTGAACTGTTGTATTATCGTGTATGGAATAGGTATGTGTTGCAGAGAATGTGATAGTCGAGCTATATATGCAGGACTTGAAATGGAGGGAATCTCGAGTCAATAAATACAGCAGAAAAATGACTGTACGAAAATAGAAGAAACAATGTGATTCGAAGCTCGCTTTGTTAACAATAAAGGAATGATTCGTAAGTGTTCCAGCACAATGAATAGGTGACTTGAAAAAACTCAAAGAAAGTATATTGTTCTTTATCCGAAATAAAACTCTTTATTCACTTTTATAAAATGCCAGGGGCCAGACTGTTTAAATAGACGCTTCTTTGTCGGCCCATACAAAGAATCCATAGAACAATCCAGTTGATCAAAGACATCCTATGAATAACCTACCTACCTACCTACCTAGCATTCATCTCCGAAGATAAAATCAAGAACGACAAGAGAGTTTCATAAACTCTAGTTCTGTACAATTGATAGAGTAGACCAGATTGATTCTCCCCTGTGCAAGAAAATATCTAGATTCTAGTGAGACTTTGAGTAGAAATCAGGGAATCTGATCCATCCATTCATCTGAATGAGAATGAATACGCGATTCAAAAACTAACCACACACTTACCCACGCGAAAAAAAGGTACCGGACCGGTCCTTCCCCTTTCTCGGCAAAAACTGCATAATTTTCTAGGTATGTAGGTACCCCAACCTCAACTCAACTCAACTCCTCTCATCCCATCCCATCCCATCCCGCCTTATCCATCCATCCCGCACCTCATCTCACTCTCATCTATTGAACAAAACCAACCCAACCAGCTCCCAGCTCCTCGCCCCCCCCCCCCCCCCTGAAACAAAACTAAAAAGCTAAAAAGCTAAAGCAATCCTCCTACCCGTCCATCCATCCATACCTAGGCATCCATCCATCCATCTTATCACTCCCCCCTCCCCCCTCCCCAAAAAAACTATTAAAAAAACTCCCTAGAAAAGCACCAACAAAGAATCTGCCTACAGTACCTAGCTACCTACCTAGTTATAGTTACCAACGAATCACCAGACGACACCCCTCACCCAATCAACATACTTTGATTTCCCAAAATATGAAACTTCGATTTTCGAAACTTGTGATGATTGGATCCACTACTACCTGTCAAAAGAAAAATAGTAAAATGTTTGTATCCGTTAGGTTTCTTTGAGTCATAATTTACCGGGGGATTTTTGAGCCTGTCGATTGACATCGGGGTGTTTACTATGAAAGATGAAAGATGAACGATGAACGATGGGAGGTTTGATGGGATCGGATTTTTTGGGAGGGACATATCATATTGTAAGATGTCACTGTGCAGTATCTATATGAGGAGAGTTTTTAAAACTTTGGATTTATAGTTTAATAACAGGGTATCGCTCATCCGTAAAGATATTTATGTATTGATTTGATTTAAAGTACCAAAATCATTTGCAACAATATTCGCTAAAGTCATTGAACGAATATCAAAATGCCCAAGTCTCAGATCCGGCTCAGTCTCGACTCCTGAACGCCATCATGCTCAGCTATCTCGGTTATTATGGAATTTTACATCGAAGACTGGATCATTCAAGTCGTTCGACAATCTATAGTTCGTCCTTCCTTCGCTGTGCTTCCTTGGCAGCCTCTTCTGGTTCTTCCCACATCCTCTTCTTGGGGTTTCCTGGGTTTGCTTCCCCACTTATCACTACGTCTTCTTCCAGCTCGGCTTTCGTAACTTGGGGAGATTCATCCCCAACCGAGTCTCCGACAATTTCCTCCTTGATAGGGGCCTGGTAATGCTGGCTTTCATCAATGATATGTTCGACCTCCTCAACCATCGTTGATGCCGCTCTTGCTACCGGTCGTTGATTGTCGTTTTCAACACTGACTGCTGGAGTGTTCATGCTATTGAAAACAGCGCTCTCACTCCTAGTTGAAATAACTGAATAAGTTGCCGGCTCACTGGATATGGACATACTGCTTTCAACAGCCGAGCCACCCTTGGAGCCCATTATTCCAAATATACTAAATAGGGAGTAGAAGATTAACTTCAGAGGCGCGTAAACCAACCACCAAAGTGGTCCGTAAAACAACCTCCTAAAAACAAGCCATGCAATTGTACATGCCAGTACATAGAATGCCGTTTCAAGATACCACGTATCACTCTTTTGGCTCCTTAGCAAAGTCCCCAGCAAATTCCGCGAACTCGATAGTAGAGAATCCAATGTAGAATATGTTTCATTCAGCTGCGCCAACGCTTCCGTGGATTGTTTCAAGGTATCGTTTGCGAACTGTGATTTTTCCAACTCGCCCGCCATCATTTCGTGAGTTCGTCGAAGCGCAAGAGTAACGTCGCTAGCAGCATTGACCGTCTTATCTTCCTTTGGAAGTTCCGACTTTGGTCGCGCGATAGGTCTTTCCATCGAGTTAGGAGTTGACCTACCGGAAGAGAGATTCAAGCTTGGCTGAAAGAGATGTTGTCGCTCCCAAACTTGCGCAGCATTAAGCGTCTTTCTGGCTGTCACTTCGGCCTTGCGGAATGCTGAATAGCATCTACAGAGTTCAGCGATCAGCCTGGAACATGGTATGCATAGGAATGAACAAAATAATTGTCTTACGATGCGACTTCTTTGATGTTCTTCTCCACTGCTTCATCAAGCATCTTTCTCTGTCTTCCCAACTCACTGTTCAGTCCCCCTGTAGGTATTGACAGAACATCTTCTTGCAGTCGCTCCAAATCCTCATCTTGTTCTTTCAACACCTGTGCGATCTCCGCAGAAAGCTCCAGCAATACAATATCGTCATCGCTATCCAATGCTATAGAACCAGGTTCGAACTTGATGTTTGCTAGTCGTTCAATCAATTCTCTGGCTTGTCTATTTGATTCCTGTAGAGCCGCAAGGCGTTCGGAAAGCGACTCGAAAGACATATTGGTTTGTGTGAACTTGGCAGATGTTTTCGCTCGTAAATTCTGTATCGTCATACATGAGAGCTGGCTGCTTGTAAGGCTCGGAATTTACCGAGAATTTTTATTTGCGCCTAGCACATTGAGCATCCAGACCACAACTACACCCCCCAGAACCTTTATAGAACATCGAAAGTCTCATGTAAGTTCAGATTGATATGTTTGGTCGATAAATACTAATTATATACTAGGCTTCGGTAGCAAACATGATCACAAGATTCATCACCGAAGTCTCAACAGTCTTCAATCCCTTCTCTCCCAAAGCCAAAACCGCTCGGTTATTTCTCTCAGTTCTCCCACCAAATGCACGACAGACCATGAAGATCGATACAAAGATACTCCCAAGAGCATCTAAAGAACGGAGTCTTGTGCGCCTTAAGTTTAGTATGTTCCGCCATATTCAAATTTCGTTGGCATTCGCAAATTCTAACCCAGATTTGCAGAGGATGGAAAAGAAATGAAGTTGGACGCAGAGAAACTTGGTATTAGAGGTGTATCTGATGAGGTAGATAGACATTCACGAATTTTAGCAAGGCAGGAGGAATTGACCGGAAATTGATGATATAATGCTGGAATGTATATGTATTGCATGTGGGAGGCGTTTTCAAGGTCGTATGATAACAATATCATACTTTCAATAAGCGCGGAGTGTCTTTTATGTGAACATGACATACGTTTTTTAGGACTTTATACGTCTCTCAATTCATGTCGATATTGCATGAGTTAGATCGCTAACGTCTACGCAAGGATTGATAGAAGGCACAATCTACAAGTCAGAAATATTGAAGATGTTACGGCTTAGCAGGAAGAAATACTGGACGGCTTTAATCGCTCAACGGTCCTACAGGTCTCCAGTTTTGGGTACCAGGACTACATCATAAATCAATGCGAAGACAAACAACGTTCATTTACTAACGCAATAATACGTTCTCCAGCTGCGTTGGCTCGTATGCGGGTCTAAAAGCCCAAATGCATTTTCGAAAAACCCCTAGCAAATCTCTTGACGAACAAGGTATAAAAACAGCTTAAGGTTTTGGTAATATTTCACAGTTGCACGTATTGAATGCTAGAAGTATTATGGATGTGCAAGAAATGCGCTTGGAAACCTTCGTATTGTATCTACAGCCAATAGTGATGGCATATGTGTAGGGTCGTTTAACTTTTATGGTATTCTGGCGATAACGCCTGCAAATGTAAAGCCGTGATTCAAGACATCTGGATTTAAGCGGCAGCACCAGAGATGAAGAACCACTTGTCAATGCTTGGGTCGATAGGAGCTGGGGCAAGGTTCTCGTTAGATGGGATAGGAGGAAGTTGGTTGGCTTCAACACGGCTGGTTGAGTGCTTGACAGTGACGTTGGTGCTATAAATTTGTTAGGTAAAGTCAACACAGCGAAATGATAAAAACTTACGTTGAAACATCACCTGGGGTGGTCTTGCCAGTGATGAGCTTCTCCCAAGCCTCAGCACACTCACGGACGATATCAGTGGCGTACCTAAAATACAATCAGCTTGCATGTCGAATCATAGTCGTGATGACCCTTACTTCTTGTTCTTGCACTCTCCAGTGAAAGCAAATTGGTTCTCTGGCTTTCCATCTGGGATTTTGTAGATTCTGAACCATTCATTTGTAGCCCTCAAGAGACCTGGAAGATGTCTCTCAACATCCTCAACGTCGTTGAGCTTAGGAGCCAATGGGTCGTTGACATCGATGACAATAACCTTCCAGTCGGTCTCCTCCTCATCGAGCAAGGCCATAACCCCGAGAACCTTGACTTGCTTGACTTGACCAGGGTATCCGACCAATTCACCAATCTCGCAAACGTCTAATGGATCGTTGTCACCCTTGGCCTTGGTTTCTGGGTGGACAACGTTAGGGTCCTCCCAAGTCTAACGTCCAATCAGCTCGTGTCGCAGATAATATTTATAATATAAACTCGAAGTCTTACTTGAGGGAAGGCACCGTAGTTCCAGAGATAACCCTTGTGTGGGAAGCAGTTGCGGACGAAACGAAGCTTGCCCTTCTTGACGTCTTGCTTCTGTGGAAATTATTAGCATAGGAATTGGATTCAATGATAGGAGGGACATTCGATTGGGTTAAGCATCTAATAAATGGCATGTTAGCTGACAGTGTACAAAATGCAGTGATAAGTGAGTAAAAACCTCTTCTTTGCTGATCTCCATCTTGCCGTTTGTCCATCTTGGGATCTCAACAACCATGTTCAAGATGGTTTGTTGCTCATTGGCATAAAGGGGGATATCGTGGAATGGAGAAACTGGAACTCCATCCTTCTCGATATAGATACGGTGCTCCAAGGTGTTTGGAGCTCCGATCTTTCTGACAGTGTATTTGGAAGCCATTGTTGTATTTAATGGTGTTGTGTTGTCGGAAGATGAATTCGTTGAGAGGTGACGAGATATTTGCACCACTCTTAGCGGTATGGTGGGGTTGTTTTTGTTCGCCAGTTTGGCGTGCGCGGCGGTCACGCCTTTATAACAAGGAAAGCGCAGGGGCAAATGTTGCTTTAATTGGTGAGAAGGACCACCGCAGGTATTGGATAGACGTGTGAATGATCTGGTTTGTTCTGCTCGAGCCTGAATGGGAATTTCTATCTTGGGGTGGAATCTCCAAATTGAATTTGGAATGCCACTAAACTTTAACGTGGACATTCAGATCTCTTGTGAGTGTTCCAAAGAGTAATAATAATAATAAGTAGGTCCTTGATACTTGGAATCTACAATCTGCAATCTGCCATCAACTTCCCGTACTACCTAGGTAATAAATTGCGCTATTCAGCAAATATTTTCCGTCGACCGCGGCTTCTATGATTAACCGCTACCAATGGAACGTGCCTTGCCATAGTTTCCGAATTTCGGACCCTGCCGTTTCCTTATGGTCTAAAGCAGCAGCAGCAGCAGCGGGATGTGTTGTCCCAATGCTCCTTCAATCCAAACTTCAACTACAACACAACAGCTACATCACATTATATTGGTCCACGCTCCAGGGGGAAAGTACTGGCCCAATATTTGTACACTTCTCAAATCAGATCCCCCCTTTTTCTTTGTTCTGTTCATGTTTTTGAACAATCACCTGAAGTCACGTCACAGCTTCTACTCTACACTTTGACCATTGGACCCGAAGCATACTAACCCCGAGTTTTAGTAATTCAAGGAAGACGCATTAAATATATGATATGGATGCCAATTATATGATACATTAGCACCATGCCTTTATTAGACGACAATGCCACGAGGGAGTAATTTTGCTACCGAAATACAGTACCGGTACAGAGGTTCAATATCTTCGCTTACATACCATACCATACCATATGGTTTTACCAAGGAGTTCTCAAAACTCAATCCATCAGTATATCTAATAATCCGAATGAACACACCCAAGATGCGATATTTGAAAGACGATGAAGCCATGAAGATAAGTTGTGCAAATAGACAGATTGGATTGAGAGGCTCTGAATGGTTCAAATATCTTCTATAAGTCGAACATCCTAGAAGACCACAATATATGGCAAGACTGGACCCTCAAACTTCTGATGATTGAATACCGTCTAGATGATTCAAGAGTATACACCAGGGCAAACCATCTAGAATTCAAGAAAACATTGAACTGACATCCCATCTAACAAGCTGTGAATGAATATCGAGACGCCGAGAGATCGAGAAAGCTTAAGCCTTAGGGAAAGTAACCTACAAACCCTCAACAACGCCATAATAAAGTATACATGATCATCATCTGTTGCTTAGCAACTCTATCTATTTAAACTCATCGTAATAGTAGCAGAAATTCGGATTTCCCTCCTCTACCACCCCTCAACAACCTTCATCTTCACATACAAACCCTTCGAAGGCTTCGCAGTCACTCCCCCTTTAATATACAGATTCTTCTCATCCATCATCCTCTTATCTTTCAACTCAAACTCAAACCTTCCGATCCATGTCGCCAACAATATTGCAAACTCCGCCTTCGCAAACTGTTGGCCAATACAACTTCTTGGTCCATGCAAAAAAGTAAGGAATGCATAATTACTCGAGCTACCTCCGACCGTATTATGCGACTCGCCATTGTCAGCCATCCATCGATCAGGATCGAAATTTCGAGCAGAGGATCCCCACATCTTCTCGTCCTTATTGATGGCCCATGGAATCAGCATCACACGTGTTCCCTTCGGTATGTGCTGACCAGAGATCGTCGTATCAACGGCGGCTTCACGGAGGGTGAGAGGAACAGGTGGAAAGTAGCGGAGAATTTCGTTACAGACAGCGTTTAGATATGGCATGTAATCGATATCTTGACTTGTAACACTGGCGTCTGAGTCTGGACTGGGAAGTTTTGCACGGACTTCCTCTCGGAGACGAGATTGAACTTCTGGGTAGGCGCAGAGTAGATAGATGGCCCAAGCCATGGAACTTGCAGTCGTCTCGTGGCCAGCTGCTAGGAAAGTCATAAGTTGATCGATGAGATTCTCATCGGGAAAGCCTCCGCTCTCCAACGCCACACTCAAGATATCCACATCGGTCAACTCCTTCTTTTCTAGCTTCGTTTTCTTCTCATGGATGAGATCCCTACAAACGGATCTGATGGTTTCTGCAGCTTCCTCGATCTCCCCATTTCTCTTGATAGGTATTCTTTTGACGAACCATCCTGGTAAGAAAAGTTGGAGAATTCCAAGAATTTGTGCAGAGCGTGTTGGTTTAAACACAGTCCTATATGTTCGATTTAGTAGTGTGTCGGGGTCCTGAATTGCTCCGAAGCCTTTGCCCAAGCCAGCTGCTCCGATTATGTCCAGTGTTATTCTACTCGCCCATTGCATAGCTTCCACAATCGCTGCGCCCTTCTCTGGCTGAGCAACACTTCCATCATTTCCATCTTTGTCTTCGGCTACGTCATTGGGGATATCGCCACGTTCTTTCGCCTTGACTTCTTTGGTCATGGCTTCCAACCCTTCACAGGATTTATCCCAGAAGACGGAATATAAATTCTTAACATGTCGGAATGCAAACGCGGGCATTAGATTTTTTCTCTGTATTTTGTGCTCATCTCCCTCTGCCAAAAGAACACCAATTCCAAGGAGACGTCCAATTCCGACACGAAGGGTAGAAGGTTTAACAAAGTCGTAATTTTTGATGGTAAGAACTTCACCGAGTGCTTTGGCATTGGTGACCATGACTCTCTCCGAATTCAACATCCCTAAATATCTTATGATGCCGTCATTTGGGATATCTTGTATCCTATTGCTCAGTTAGCTACATATAGAGATATATAGAGTAACAGATCTCACCAGTCAAGCATCGGCTGACCAGTTGGCTCTCCAGAGATCCTCTTCCATTGGCCATTCCACCAACTACCTCCTTTTGGAGAGGGTAAATGTCTCAGGGGTGAAAAATAGTAAGGATACAAGATCACTCTCCAGATGGCAAAGCCTATGAACTGTAACAAGTATAGTTGTACAAATGTTCCCCAGTAGCTCGGCTGGGAGGATAATAGTGTATCTGGTTTGTAAGAAACAAGTGCGTAAGAAAGGGTTGTAGGTAAGACTACCAGTCTCTTGAAGGGAATGGAAGACATGGAGGCGAAAATCTATAACTATTTTAGAAAGGGGGGGGGGTTAATGTTGGCAGAGTACCAAGTACTTATATAGCGGGGTCGGCTCTATAATTGTGCCACCTCCGCAGGTCAATTTCCTTCGCAAGCTGAGGTTTCAATGGAAGTAAGAAAGTGGCTTCAAAATGAATGTACAAGTATGATGATTTGCCACGGAGGATTTCTTGCACAGGTAATAGAGGTTGATGGAATCTAAAAGCACCTAGTACACCTGCTTCGTCGCAAGTTTCAAAAGTTGTGGTGATTTCATGTAGGCGTAGAAGGAAAAAGATGAAACCACTTCTATAGATATATAGTCTCGGGTACCAACTCAAAATGATAAAGAAAAATAATAAATGTAATTGTAATTGTAATTGATTTCAAAGAATTCCAGTCGAAGTTCCAGTCCATGATACCTCAACGTATCGCATACCCCATTCAGATGGCATTCCGACAAGGATTCTGTAGATCTTGGCTTGAGGATGTGTGAAAGGACCACTTTATTTTGAATCGACCCGTAAATCTTTTACGGGGCAGCCAATTGATAGCCACTCTCGAGCCAGTGATGACTAACCACTCTGTACAATGCTGAAAGCTTGAATCTGGCCTGACAGCAAAGAATCTGGCTTTCCTACCACGTTGGCGGGAACGAAATAGATCTCCACCACAATGCAAGCCTTTCTCGAGCCTCTGTTGAGTGAGTACTGAGTAACATACTAACATCTCGGAAAGTCTTTGGTACCCGGACCCCGCTTCTTTGTCGACTCAGTATGCTAAGATACAAACGGGCAACTTGTTGTCGCGAGTGAGGATTTGTGTAGATTATGGTTTGAAATTGATAGAGGATCGTTCCAAAATCAGTCAGTCGGTCATCACTTGATGAAGAATTGGCCATGTCATCTCTACGAATAGAGTGTCTGTGATTTCGAGGCCCAACGTTGGAAGCAGGCGTTGCCAAAAAATAATATACTGTCTTGAGTTTTCACCCGACAAACTCGAAACCTACCTGATAGTACCGCGAATCTGACAGTCGTATGATTTAAATGAATACTTTTGCAAATTACGTGAGATAAAGTAGTATTTTAGACAATCATGTGAAAGATACACATCGAAATTAATAATATAGATAGTTATAGAATAGACATGGGCAGTAATATAGACATTGACAATCTTATCAATGTGAGCGTCTCAGACTCTCTCGGGAGAGCCTCGCTAGCAAGATTGTAGTTATTGATGTAAATTTAATCAGCGGTGATATTTACTTTCATTTTCACATTAATTTATACTGGCATTAACACAAATATTGTTATTGATATGGATGTTGCACTTCACCTGAATAGTTGATACATTGGCAAACATTTACACCCTCAAATATGTCGCATTTCAATCAGATAGTTGGGAATCATTAAATTTTCATAATCATAAACATCTTAGCTGTGTGTAGGCATTGAAACATCAGCAGACTTGGAAATTGCATCCTCGCTCCTCCACAAACTGGTCACTGTCTTTTGCTGCGTGTAGAATTGTAGTCCTGGCTTGCCATAGAATGTATTTGCACCACCTCCAGCAACACTCTTCTTGTTTCCGGTGAAGGAGAAGAATGGAAGAGGAACAGGGATTGGTACATTTATTCCCTGCTGTCCTGCCTCGATGTTCTTTTGGAAGGCTGTTGCTGTAGCTCCAGATCGTGTGAAGATAGCTGCACCGTTACCATATTCATTGGCGTTGATGAGATCGATGGCTTCATTGAGAGTGTCCACATTCAAGCATACTAACACTGGGCCGAAAATTTCTTCCGTGTAGCACTTCATATGAGGTTTGACGTTGGTGATGATGGTAGGGCCAACCCAATTTCCGTTGGGATATTTCTCAGGTTTATAACCTCTACCGTCCAACAAGATTGTTGCACCTTCCTCTTCTGCGCTTGCAATCAGATCTTCGATTCTTTGCTTGCTCTGTGGAGAGATGACTGGACCAAGATCCGCCCCCTTTTCAAATCCTCCATTGACGTTTAATGATTTAGCACTTTCGGCTAGTTCAGATAACCATTCCTTCGTTTCCCCAACCATGACCAAGGTACTTAAAGCCATACATCTTTGGCCAGCGGCTCCAAAAGCTGCCCCGACAATTGAATTGAGGGCATGTTGCTTGTTCGCGTCGGGTAAAACCGCACAGTGGTTCTTGGCACCCAAGTTTGCTTGCACACGCTTGCCATTAGCAGAACCTCGAGTAAAAATATATTCTCCAGCACGATTGCTTCCAACAAAACTGATGGCTTTAATGGCTGGTTCATCGATAATAAAGTCGACTGTTTTCGATGCGCCATGGACAATATTGAGTACTCCGTCGGGGAATCCAGCTTTTTGGGCAAGTTCGGCAAGAATCATTGCCGCACCAGGATCTCGTTCGGAAGGCTTGACAATTAGACAATTTCCAGTTGCACACGCAATTGGAATAGACCATAATGGAATCATTGCAGGAAAGTCTATTGGACGTTAGTAGGATCTAAACCTCCAATTGCTCTAAACTTACTAAATGGGCAAATGGCAGCTACAACTCCTAATGGCTCCCTGTAACTTCTGGTCTCCATATCTTTTGCTACCTCTATGACCTCGCCCATCATTTGTTGAGGAATTGCACATGCGGTCTCGGCGACTTGCAATCCACGAAGAACGTCTCCCTTTGCATCTGCCAGCACGTCAGTTTTGGGGTTTAAAGGCATACCATTGAGGACATACCAGCAAACGTTTTACCCTGCTCCAATGTGATACTGGCAGCCAATCTATCCCAATTGTCCCGTACTAGCTGTGTGAATTTAAACATAATTTGTTGTCTTGCCATTATGCTGGTATTTTTCCACCCTGGGAATGCTTTCACCGCGCTATCAACTGCAGCTTTGAGCTCAGCATCTGTACTTTGTGGTACTCTTGTTACGAGATTGTTTGTCGCTGGGTCGTGTAAATCGATGAATTGTGTAGATTCGGATTTGAGGAATTTATTATCGACAAAGTAAGGAGTATCCTGCACATCTTGGATTTTCTCGTGAGTTGTAGGATAATTATCGGCATTGAATGCTAATGCTGCAGCAGGTTTGAGATGTTGAGCTGTGGCATGGAGTCTGCGAGTAGCAATTTTGGATGTTTCAGAGGAGGATGGCATATTGAATGCTACTCTGGGTCGTACTGCGGAGGAGGTATGTCGAACAGTGGCAGTTGAAATACCTTTGGTCAAGGTTCGACGCATTTTTGCTCACAAGGTTTGTTTAGAATAATATTTGAAGAGAACTCAATTGTATCCCTTCAAAGTATCGTGAACCGTCACATCAAGAACAAGCGCAGCTACTTGTAGTATTCGGATGAGTGGATTGTAAACTGGGGTTCCGAGCTGTTAGTAGCGGCTTAAGATAGCCGGATGCGGAGAAATTGGTTAGACTTTCCTATCTTGGTTCGCCGTGATCAATCCGAGGTGTATCAAAATAATTTGTACGTAATTCTCAAAGATTCGAGGATAATAATGATTGATATCCACGGACGTGAGAGATATGAGAGATATGAGACACAGGAAGATTGATAGTCATATATTACTATCTGAGTTCTTTGTTGAGTACAACTTACTGACTCAATAAGGGGATTTGCGCCAGCAGGACGAAACCTCCAGAATAACAAAAATGAAGATTTACTTCAGTTTTCGATATAAATTCAGACAATCAAGATTTCAAATTCATGTTAAGATAAAGTTATCGAAGAGCGTTTAATTTATTTGAGGCTCATACATCTTCTCATATAGGCACTTTCATTCACTATTCAAAAGTCCGCGTCTTCATTGCATAGTTGTATTTGAGTGATTTGGTATACTGTTACTTTTGTGAATCTTCGAAGCTCCAACTGTATAATATAACAAGTGATGTTGTTCTGATTTTCCATCTTCTGAATATGAGTGATATGTTTATCGTGATGCTGGTTTTGGCATTGGGATGTTAATCAATCTTAAGTCGGGTGAGAGGATTGTGAGGAGAATCAGACCTCGAACAAGATAATGGGATTCTACTCGTAGAGTGGTGTGAGTCAAGACCATATCATACATACACTGCATACAAATGAGTTTATTAGGAGACATTCAGCTTTGGTATATGATCTTGTGTTGGGTGGCAAGGATTCCGACTAATTGATGGACTACTATGTTAGTTATAAGATTGTATGATAGTATGCGATTGACGAAAGACAAGAGCTACAGAGAAGTTCTTTCAAGAAATTGTATAAAGAGTTAAAGCTCTCAAATGACTATACTCAGTATGTGTTTGAGATTTAATATGTTATTCCTTTCGAACTTTATGATTCACATCAGTAACGTCTAAACTCATCAACCTCGAAATCTAATCAGCTAGACAATGAAGAACTTAATAACAAAGACTCTAATAATAAATAATAATTCTTTAAACTCGAACATAGCAAGGGATCGAAGATCTAAGGGTTGACTCTCATATATATTAATAGTACTTACGAACGATATATTCTAAGCTTAATATAGTCAAGTAGATTTCGAGTTTACTAAGTCTAAGTTTAATGACAGACTACAAAAGTTCAATTCTCAAACTTAATTTCATAGTTAATCCGAAGTACATCTTCGTTACTAGTAAGCTGCTTAGTAAGAGTTTCAAAATCTAGTCTAAAATTGAAAAAGTGTAACAAACGACAACAACGCTCAAATCTGTTACTGTGAACATGATAATAAATGACAAATGGCCTGTCTATCGATTGTCGATAAATGCTACAAAATTGCCAAAAGTATGGAGAATTTGGGAATCGAACCCAAGACCTTTCCTATCCTATTTGTTGCTTCAACAAGTGCGAAAGGAATGTTATACCCCTAAACCAAATCCCCGTATTTTGTTGCAATGTAGTGAGTCAATAAAATATATATTGAAAGGTTTTTTTTGTGGATCGAGAGGAGTTTTACACGCAGATCGTAGTGTAGGGAGCAAGGCACGTGCGAGGGCGCCACGAGGGTGAAAGAAGAAAGAAATGTTTCAAGGCTCCACCTTCTACTCTCTTATCTTAGCGCCTTCTGGCTATCATTGAATTTCTCCAAGCTCCCTGATTTTTTCTACAGCGAATATATGAAGCCATATCAGACACATATTCATTGTCAGTAATTCTTGGAGTAATCCCTTGAATCTAGGTTCTACCTACCACAGATATGCCCTCGACTTCAGAATATACAAGGTTACACATAACCCCACTCAATCCCAACCTCCTCACTACAATAATACCTCCGTCAATTCTCCCTAATGCGAAGAACATTTCCTACCACACCCTCGAAACTTTCCAGGACAGACCTTACGGCTTCGTAGACCTACCTATTATGGATGCCGAAAAGTTGAAAAAGAAGCTCCATGGCTCTATATTAAAAGGCTCAAAAATCCGGATCGAAACAGCTCGACCAGCGAAAGATCTAAGTTCAGTAAATGAGCCAGAACCAGCGCCCAAGCGACAAAGAGAAAAAAAGGAAACAAGCAAAAAGCGCAAACGGGGAGAGGAAACTATACCCGCTGTAGTAATTGGGGATAGGAAAGTTAAGAGAGGCTGGACTACAACTCCCACGGATCTAGTCAAGGCGAAGAGGGAATCAAAGGAACTTAAGAATGTTGTTAAGTCAAAATATACTACAAATGAGGAGTGTTTGTTTAAGACAATCTTACCCCCGAATGTTGCCGCACACACGAAGGCTACGAGTGGCGAGAAATCGAGTAGGAGGAGCAAGAAGGGTAGAGGTACTGTTGTGCATGAGTTTGCCAAAAGCACAAAGTATGCTACCTTCTTAAGAAGTAGTAATGAAGGCACAAAGTCGAAGCCTGCGGTAGAGTTTGTGGATGGAAAAGGATGGGTAGACGAAGACGGTAATGTGATAGAAGAAGTGGTGAAAAGGGTACGGAAGAGTCAGAAACCACCCAAGGTTGAGGAGCTTGCTCCGGAAAAAGCAATGGGCAAAGATAGCGGCAGTGGTTCGGACCAGGACAAGTCCTCAGGAGAAGATTCTTCATCTGATGAATCTGATTTTGAGGAACGAGCGATGAAGAAAGTGAGGCAGGCAGCAGAAGTCGAGAGCGGCAGTTCATCAGACTCGGAGAGTTCTGCCGACGAAGACGAGTACATAAAGCCACAATCGAAATCCGAGGATATTGTGATGACAGAAGCGGTCAAAGAAGCCCTCGAGGTTCCAACCGAGGCAGAGAAGCCTTCGGATACAGAGAGCTCATCAGCGGAGGAAGTGGAACATATCAACCCGATCCAGCCAGAAGTCTCCAAAGCTGAAGCTGAATCGGAAGATGATGCATCGTCATCAGGCTCTGACAAATCGTCGGATTCTGAGTCATCTGATTCCTCTGGTAGTGACTCGGAAGATGAAGATAAATCATCTATCGCAGCCTCCCCTGAGAATCGCTCCACATCCACACCATCAACAATGCCACCGCCAACCTCCCCCGAAACCAAAACGGCCCGACCTCAGTCATCCTCTGGTCTAAGTATTACGATACCCTCTCCCATCGTCCATTCAACACCCATCCCCACACAGGTACACCCTCTCGAAGCTCTTTACAAACGTTCTAAACCTAATCCTAACTCCAACTCTGATGAGCCTAAACCTGAAACCAAGTCAACCTCCTTTAGTTTCTTCGGCGCTGATGATGAAGACTCCGATATTGGCGAGGAACCCAATCAAATCCCTTTAACACCCTTCACCCAACGTGACTTTGAATCTAGAGGCTTGAGAAGCTCAGCACCGACACCTGATACTGCTTACGCCAACAAGAGATTTGTATGGCCTGGGGGTAAGGATAATGATGATGATAATGACGAAGGGAATTCTCCAACACCGAAAGATTCTGTGAGTGGAAAGATCATATTCAAGGAGAAAGAATCAGAGGAGGCGCCTGAAAGTGATTTTCAGAAGTGGTTTTATGAGCACAGAGGAGAGAATACGAGAGGGTGGAAGAAGCGGAGAAAGGCTGTTGCAAAAGAGCAAAGGCATAGAGAAAACAAGAAGAGGAGTCGTGCTTAGTTTTCTATTACCCTGTATATAGTCTGGATGAATCTCCTTTGTCAAATACCTATGTAATCAACTGTTGGTTTTTCAGTCTCTTATCTTGTGAGTTCCAGATAGCTCCTTCGCATAATCGCACAGCTATATCGTCACTATCATCATTTATTACGAACGTCACAGCCAGTCAAAAGCATGAATGTGATCATACCATGTCTCGAAACATAGCACAGCACAGCACAGCAAAATGGTGGAAAACCCAAAGGCGATTTCAATTCTCTCAGTCTAACTAACGTCAAACCGGCAACCACGAAAAGAAATTCCTCAAGATAGCCGAGACCCTCCTTGCCACAGAAGCTTAACCATCTTTCAATCCTTCAGTTTCCGTTTTACGTTTTTTTTCTTCAATTTCACTAACTCGCTCGCTCCCGCATAAACGCATAACTAAACCTCAAAACTGAGATGAACACTCTCATGTTGCTGCCAGTCAACTACCGCCAAATTACATGAGTTACTTTTGATTCGTTTCTTCCTTCCTTCCTTCCTTTCAGATACCGTTCACCTTTTAGGTGGTGCATTGAGTACGTGCACCATTTCCAATCAGTAAGGACTGCTGTACAAGCTGAAAACAAAGTCTAGCTTTTTGTAATGGGTAAAAGAATCACTATATCTTCATGTCTTTTGAAAAATTGTAGCATCACATCGATTCGTCTCAGAGCGCGAAGACAGATGCGTACCAAATTGAATAGAATCCTTCTCAAGAGCACAAAGATCAGGTTATGTAGTGTTTGCAAAGCGCCGCTGTATCTCGAACCCGTGTGAACTAGATGCAGACCAAAACGTATAGTACGCAAGGAATGCTCATTTCGACAGGATGCAAGATCAGGTAGTTCCAAATGAGTGTGGGTCCGGGCTCCTAATCGCATTCCGAGTCCAGGGTTTCGTGATCGTAAACTGTAAGAAATTCGTATGGATCGTATGTATGTGTCGTGTCACATGGTGTACATTATTAAGTGACGGGGTCGTAAGAGGGCGTGAGGGAATGGGTGAACTTGAAGCAAAATCACTCCCATATCCGTGTCGTAATTTTCGTGAAAAGGAAATGTGGAAGAAAGAAAAATCCTGGTGCATAATCCCCAAATATAAAGAAATCGCAATTGGTATGGTGTAATCGTACAGGGTATTGGGTATTCAAACAGTGGTTGTTCATTTGTCCATAGTTAACTCATTCTTTGTCTTTCATCGAGACCTTTCTAAAGGGTGAAGATGAAATATGAAGATGAAAGCTTGGAGCTCGAACGTAATGGGTGATAGTAATACGCAAAAAGAAATAAAAACAAGGGTAACTTTTAACCAGTACTTCTTGCTCTATCGAGGTACAGAAGTAGGTTGAATTATGATGCGAACTTGAAATTGTAGGATGAATGTTGGCGCCTAGATGATATCCGGGAGCTATCAACTTCGAAAAGAAGAATGAGCAAAGAGTATTAATCAAAGGCACGACCTTTACCCTTGCCACCACCAGTGTAGTATGTAGCAGGTAGTGTTTCCGTGTTGCGCTGATTGTTGTCGCCATCATTCATGCTATCACGATAGGGATTTCTTGATGGGATGGTAGAATTGGCTACATCGATACTATTCATTGCTGAACCTTCCTCGGTATTCATTCTGGAAGCCAGACCGCCGATATTAGCTTGTGCTACGTCTCCATAGCCAATTGCTTCCGGTCGTTGCCGCTGCTCACTGCTGCCACTACTGCTAGCGGTAGCAAAATCAACTTCGGGATTCTCATCTCGTGATCCATACTGCTTGAGCTTGCCGTCGACGATGCGTTTATGGCAGACTTTGCGGGGTCTGTCACTGAGATCAGGTGGTGGCGGAAGCTGCTGTCCCAATGCAATCTGCGCACTCTGGTGACTGAGACTCTTTTCCAACTTCTCCAAAGGACCTTCGGTTTCGACACGCTTGAGGGTGGGTTGAATTGCCATGTCCAAGTCAATTCTTGAGCTAACATTTGATGGAATAGTGCTCATAGGTACGACTGTACCGGCGGCTTGATATTTTAAGTTATTATGTGTTGGACGTAAAGGGTTTGGAGATGGCATGTACGAATACACGGGAGTTTGTGGTAGTAGTGCGGGATCAATCGTGCTTTGATATCCGTTCCAGATGTCGGTGATGTCAAGCGAGGTCTGCAAGAAATAGAGTTAGTACTAGTATTTTAAAATGAGACCGAGATTGTTTAGAGTTGATCGCTTGACAAGACTATGTTTGATTGATATAACTTGAACTTACTTCTAGAGCTGGACTTTCTCCCATGAGGATTCTCATTGCCAGATCTCGATGGGTTTCAGCTGATACTAGACTATCCCTACTTCTGACTGATATCTGTGCTGGCATTTCAATCGGGGTGAAAGGAGCATCTGGCGTAGATACATTGACAGGGAGAGGTCCACCTGGCTTGCTGGGAGTATGGTGGATTGCGGAGAAGTAATCGGCTTGTCGAGAGAAGCCCGGGCTCAGTATAGCCTGTGGCAAGGGAGTTAGAGGTGATCCCGCAACCGCCGGAGTGTAGTTGTAATTATCAGCGTGTGCATTGATCATCATGGGAGACTGGTAGTCTGGACCACAGCTAGCTCCATAAACCGGAACCTGCTCAAAGCCATGGTCGTTTTGAGCTTGCCGGAACATGTCTGCATTGGGTCTCATAACCTCAGTATATGAGTTTTGAACAGTCTGAGGTGTGGCGAAGGAGGGGAATGCCTCTTGTCGAGGGGTATGAGCAATTGGGACCATTTCAAAAGATTGTGGGCCAGCAGTTCCACTCTCCAGATCGCCACGAATTCTAAGGTTGCTGTTTGCAATATCTTGACTTCCGTTGGGTCGTCTTAAACTGACCTGAGGATTATGAGCAACTCCACGTATCAGCATAACTACGAATGTTGAAGCTCCGACGCATAGAAGAAGGACACTAAGAACAAGCCACCAGATGACTGGGACGCTGATGTTGAAAGGGCCTGGTTTGTCGTTTGTGTTCTTTATCGTAATTACCACCCCAACACAAACTGCTGTAGATAGTAACCCAAACTGAGCTGCTCCAACTGCAATCCAGCAATTAGACGTCAGATTATTGAAAACCCCAGTGCTCCCTTTACTGTTACTTAGCAGCGAGCGCCGTACTAAATGCGGCTCTGCCAGCCGTCTTTCCAAAGCAAGTCGCTCATCCTGCTTTCTTGCAGCAAACTGAGCTCTTGCCTCAGCTGTCACTCTGATCGGAAGGGGGGGGTCGCGGGGTTGGTCGTGGTGGTAGCTCAGTCGGGAAACTAGTTGGTTTAGCGACTTTAGGAGGAGAGGGGGTGGCTCGTTTTCCATTATAAGTAGAAAGGAAAAGTCCCATATGCATATCGCTTAAACCCGAGTAAAGTTCATCCTCAGAGACCGCAGAAACCGCAGTGGAGTTTGGAGAAAATTTACTTCTCTTAGACTTCTTATCTTTACCCTTTTTCGAACTCGTGTCTTTGGGACTAGTGAGAGCACCTAGTTGATCCAAGTTCTCTGGAATAGCTTTGCCACTGTAGGGTATTGTATTTGTAAAGGGCGAAGTACTCGATCCCTCGAATACTGGGATAGCATTATCACCAAAACCTTTGGCAGTCAAAGTCGGGTTCTGATTATGATCATATGATCCCTGGGTAGCAGAAGGTCGATTCTCTTTTGCAGTATGGAGCCCATCGTCATAAATGCTTTCCATGCTAAATGAATCTATATCATTGGTACATGCGCTTAAGCCACGTGAATGACTGTCTGGTAATTGATTTCGGGTGATCCCATATAAGCGTGGTGCAAACGCAGCGGTATCTTGGCTACGAGTCAAGGAAGGCGAATTCTTAGCCATTTGCCAATTCTGCTCAAGACTTCCTCGTCCATCTTTATCCTTAGATGGAATGAGGTACTCAGATAGGTCTGCATTTGACAAGCTCTGGTTACCTTGCGTCAACTCCTTTTCCTTGAATACATTCAATCCTTTAGAAAACGCTCCCCGAGCCATGATTATCGATCTGCTGTTGGACTTGAGAGGTATTAGCAAACTTAATTTTTCAAGTTTCATGGGTAGATATTGTAAAGTGATGACCTACTCTTACTGTGCGCGAAGAGGATGCAACACTTGCTTGAGGGTCCTGAGGATGCGCATTGGAGGATTGCAGGGAATTCGATAGCAAGTGATTTGAATCTCTGAACGGATTGTATCTTGCCTTCGATTTACTGGCTTTCGGTCTGCCAGTCGCATGTTGTGGCGCCCGGTCTCCCTTCTTATTTTGATCCATTTCTATATTATGCGCGTTCTTGACTTTTGAATTGAGCTCTTTTAAGAGGCAGAGCGTAGATCTTGATAAGTTGATAAGTATTCGTCATAAAACAACTGGTACTGGTGAAATTCGTGGAGGATATGACCGCTTCTGCGACTATGAGGATAGAGGCAGAAGGAGGATGAGGAAGTACTGCCTACTGGAATTCTTTTTGGGGGAAGGCAAAAAAGAAAGCCGATAAAGGCCAATTTAGCAGGTTGATCAGTTACTTGGAAAATCTTTCATTGAAGGATTGGACAAAAGTTATGCAATCAGCAATAATTTGCTGTTGTGGAGCAGTCAGTGGTGGTGGTGGTGGTGTTTTCGAAGATGATAGAATATAGAAATCAAGGGCTTTGTGGGATCCGAGGCCGACAATTGCAAATGGCAAGCAAGAAAGGTGGGTCGATTCAAAATACAGAAATATTATCAAATGTTTCTTTCAGACGAGTGTTCGGGTGTTCGGGCGGTGAATAAATTTCAGTGAGTGCTATTATGATCAGGTGGGGATGGAAAGGGAGTGAATTCTTTGAATTGTGATTGTGTAAGAAACGGGCAAGCTAGCTCTAGTCCATCACAATGGCAGCAAGTGGACAAAGAGGTAGCAAGTAGGGTATGTAAAGAGAATTAGCCTTGCTGTTGTTGTTGTTGTTGTTGTTGTTGTCGTCGATGATGGTTGTTAGATCAACTTCAACTTCAACTTCGGATCTAACAACTTCGGGTATTGCCGGTTGCTACCACTATTTCTTCTGTTGAAATCTTGATCCCAAGCTTCATGCTATCAATCATTCCCCTCAATATAATAACTACTTCTCAAAGACTTCAAGAAGAAAGACCTATATTGTTCATTGTTGTCATTCCGCCATTTATTTAATTTTTGAAGAAGTTTATACTCATCTGCCTCTCAATTTGGAATAGTGAGGCTCTCTGACAAGGTTAGTCCAACTCAACTTGAACAGCGAGACTGTAAGACACAAGTCTTTTTCAAAGAATACAAGTGGAATGTCTAATATCTGCCGTTTTACTCCTTATGTACAATATAATACAAAACGCGCCAGACTACAGAAGTGGAGTCTATATTAAGGTTAAACAACAATACCCAATCCAACAACTATACCTTCTACACATTTGGTGATAACAAATCATACTTGACACATCTTTCAACCTACATTGTATTGTCAGCATTTGAACATCCATCGCTAATTTGAAAGTGCTAGATAAAAGCAGTTCGTCGCAAGTGAGTGTAAAAGGGGCTCGGGCTCGGCATGCCAAGACATACAAAATGAACATTTATGTGGATAAGTAGAGGGGGGGGAAGAAAGCCAATGTCATGGAGCAAGGTGTGTGCAAATCTGTCCAAGCACAGCCTGAATGATGTTATGCTGAAAGCCAGCTTGTCCCAGAAAGCAAAAACTGGCCAAGCTAACTTGTCACATTGACAAATTGCTACCAGCCTGCCACCAGAGACAGACACAAAGAACATGATTGTTGCTGCCAAACTTTTGGCCAGAATAGAAGGCAACAATAACACATAGGAATGTAGTGCAGGGGTAGCGATTAAGAATGCAATAGCAGATAAAGAGATGGAAGTAGAGAAATCGCGGAACATACATCTTCAATAGAAGCCTGCAAGAACTTTCTAGCTTCCAAACCTACCCATACCTTCAGCATGGAGAAATCACCTTGGCGTAGCATACCACCTCCACTCTGTGCTCCCATTTCTCGTAGAATAGGCAGCGCAGAGGAGAGCAAGTCGATATCAGGGTTGAGACTTCTACCAATGCCTTCTAGCAACAAAATGCTGATGACCACATTGACGAAATCTCCCTCCATCCTTACATGGTGAGTTCGGACCATAGAGAGAACCTCATTTAGTATATCCCCTATTTTCATGTTGCCCAATGCTAACGTGCGACTCTTGACTCCTAGGACAAGATGTTGCATTTTTAAAGAATAAATCTCTTCATCAATGACTGCATCAGGCTGACGACATCTTTGACACATCAAATGACCTGCTTTATAACCATCGAACTCAGCCACAGCTTTGAAAAGATCAAGAAAGTTTCTTCGATTGGTTGCATTTAGTTCTGTGACCAGGCCTGTGTCTATGAAGATCAATTGGGGCCTGAATCCTTCTTTATCAATTTTTGAAAGTTCTGCTTGCCATGCTTGGGGATCCTTTCTGTGGCGATATGGCTGAAGTCTTGCCAGTACTTGTTCAGTGACATCTGGCTGAGACTGAGGATCTTCGTCTTTGTGTTTACTGAAAGGTAGGTTGGGCTTTTCAGATTGGTAAAAGCGGACCATAATATTCCCTGGATGAAGGTCTGCATGAATGAAATTGTCAATTAGCAACATGCGTAAGAATGCATCAAGCCCTTCATCCGCAATATCTTGTTGAAATACCCCGCCACCATTTTCCATAAAGTCAGATAACGGTATACCCTGTGCAAATTCCTCCACCAGGACTTGTCTTGTGGTGAACTGAGTATATGGGAATGGAAACCATGCTGTTGTCCTTGGTTTGAAATTTTTCCTGAAGATTGACAAATTCGCAGCTTCAATTCGAAGATCGAGCTGCAATCTCATCATTTGTCCAAATTGTTCGACTTCATCTGGAAATGACAGCCATTCAAAAGTGGGAATTAAATTTATCACTGAAGCAAATACCCACATGATCCGTAGATCTCGTCTGACAACTCTTTCCACCCCTGGGTGAAGAACTTTGATTGCAACATAACTTGATGGGACTCTTTGTGGTGTGCTCTTGATAAGCGTGTCGACATTTCTACGCACATTTCTTCTTATGTTTGTTGGCTCCTGTAGATCTGGATCTCCTGGTGTTGCCAAATCGGGTTTCAGCTTGGCCTTGTAAACTTGTGCGATAGCCCCCACCCCCAAAGGCTGCTCCTGAAACTCCTCAAATATATCATCAAAGGGTCGCCCATCAAAAGCTCTACTTATAATCCTTTTAGTGGCATGCAAAGAGTGCGCGGGCGCATTGGAATGGAGTTGTGACATGATCTCGCACATTTGGGAAGGGAAGATATCTGATCTAGAGGCAGCCCATTGCCCAAGCTAGAAAGTCAGCACAGCAAGGTACAACAAGAATTAGATGCCGCACCTTAATAAACGCAGGCCCAGCTCGTTCCATAGCCTTAACTAAGAACCTGTACCACCATAGAGTACCGATCCGCTCATTGTCTCGCGCTATATCCCTAGGCCCAAAGTATGCAGCGGGTATAGTAATAAGAACTGGAACGAATATAACCACAAGGTGCAAGAAGCGTACGCTTGTGCAAAGGGGTTCCCATAGATAGGCGTCCAGAAAATAGATTATACTATCTTTCACTCGTTGAAGCCCATGAACATCATCGCCCACTTTCTTGCTAATTTCCTCCCTCGATGCCTCTAGCATTCGCCCTTCTGCAGTCATCTCAGTTCCGCCATTGTCTTTTTCTGATAGTCGAACAAACACAGTAGGGCTCAAGCCTGCTGCGGCGGCGAGGATCAGCCCTTTAGTCTGCGGAGGCGATTTGAATTGCCAATATCCTCGTCTTCTCCAACCCCCTTCTCCTCCACCTCCACCTCCACCTCCACCACCATTTCTATATGATTGTCTCGTTGCTGATTGAATATTCCGACATTGGATCGAGGTTCGTATTCTGGGAAGGGTCTGACGAAGACATGTTCGACCTGTGGCCAAAAACATCCTTATCTTCCTTCGTGTGAAGAATGGTTTGTTTCCCGTAATTGAGTACTATCGAGGCTCCATAGATGTTTTATTGTTAATGGGTTTGGTTTAAGTACAGCCCAAATGTTGTTAACCCCCTCCACGGAAGCATGAGATGCGCCAGTGAAGTATTGATTCAGTGACGTCAGGAATCAATTATAACATTTCTTCATTTGAATAGCACCAAAATACGTAATTCTAAGTTCATATGATAGAACATGTTATGATAATTGCGAAGGATAGAAAACATTTATAAAATAGGAGTGAAAATTGAAAGATATACATCTAATTACCCAGGTATATTATCATTCAATTTAGCTAATGTCAACAACCTGATTCCTTTCATTCTCCGCGCGTTTGTTCTGGTGTTCCATGTGATAAATTGTGCTCTTTACTCAAGGGGACCCATATAATTTTTCGTGAATAGCGGAAGCAGCGGTTCATCGCCGGTTTGGGTAAAAAAAATTCCTTGAGCGGCGGGATTATTACCGATTCCCCCTCTTTCCTCCTTTCCTCTTTTCTTCGAATCACAGTGAAGCTAATTCCAATAAAAAATACATTCATTGACTTCTCTAGTGTTTAAGAGGACGTCAATTGTCTCTTATTTATATCCTTCATATTCAAACCTAAAAAGTACGCAAATTGGTTCATCCTAAGTCTCACAAACAATATGGGATGGTTCTGGGCTGATTCTCCTGCAACTGCTGCTGCGGCGTTGGGTATGAGAAATGCTCCTCATGCTTTGCCCAAGGATAGCAATGCCACTCCGCCTGTGAGTAGATAAATCTCTGTTCTTGCCCAGTCATTTTGTGATTCTGATTTCCGCTCGCCAGCCATCATGCCCCATGCACAAACCCAGCGCAGATGCTCTGAAGCCTGTGGCAAAACCTCCTCCATCATCATCCGAGTCCGCCTGCCCATATACGCCCGACGATGTCTCTCAAGAATCTAAAGCAACGTCTAAATACTCCAAATACAACCCTTTGAACTACATGTTCCCCGACTTATCCCAAGAGAGAGCGAAGGATCAGACTATTGTATTGCCAACCGAAAGAGAGCCATCTACCATACCCAAAGGCACTGGGGATGGTAACTGGGAATATCCTTCGCCACAACAAATGTACAATGCTCTTCTACGCAAAGGCTATACTGATACGGATGCGACTGCCGTCGAGAGTATGGTATCAGTTCACAATTTCTTGAACGAGGGTGCTTGGGCTGAAATTGTAGAATGGGAACGAAGATTTGGTAAAGGGTTGTTCAAGGGTTGGGAGAATTGTAGAAGAGGAGAGGAGGGTTCAAAGGCAGGAGCAGATATTGGTGCAAATGAAGATGAAGTGCCCCAGCCCAAATTAGTTCGATTCATGGGCAGACCGAAGGAGATGACACCAAAGGCCGCGATGATTCAAGCCATGGGTTGGGCTTTTCCAGAAAAATATGGGTATGGAGATTTGTGATTTGTTTCAATGCCTCAACTTTTAGCTAACCACTGTTGTAGTACTGAGCCACCATTCGATCGCCACGATTGGTTTGTCCAAAGAGAATACAATGGCCAGAAGAAGGAAGTTAGATACATCATCGATTATTATTCGGGAGGCGAAGAACCTACTGGAGAACCCATATTCTATCTGGATGTCAGACCCGCCCTCACTCCGACGCAAGCTGTAGAGCGTATGATGCGATGGAGTGGTGACGTTTGGTATCGCGCATCTGGTGCTTCCGTTAGAGAGAACATGAAAAAGAATTAGGAATTTGTCTAGTTCTTGAGATGTGAAATGGCGTTTTGCAGCGGTTTTTAAGCAATACGCTTTGGCTTGGGTTAGGATTTGGTATCTATGGTTATGATCTGATTTGATCAATGAGTTGGGGTTATGCATATGGAATGGTCTCTGGGTAGGAAATACAGTTTACGCCTCTCTTCTCTTGTAATTATTGATACCTAAATAATGATATTTCTCATTCACGACGTCAGATTTATCTAACTTTCGGGCATAGCTTATGGGAAGCTTATCGCAGTGCGAGACTTTCAGAAGGTGGAGCTACCCGAATCATGATAAGAGCTTCTTTAAATCCCCCACTATTCAAACATTATTGCTCCCCCTTCTCAATCGTTTGAAAGACTAGAACAGCCAGTATGGCGGAACCCTTTGTATCAATCAGGAAACATATTAAATGGGGAGCAAGTGTTCATAATATTTCTACAATCCTACCTCCAATATGCTAACAATGATTGCAGGATAGAGCAGCAAAAGAAAATACAAAGTGCGTATCTTGAGCTGTTATTAATAGCTCTAGCTTGCTAACACACACTTAGCACTCTTGTCCTAACATCTGCCGATAAACACTATGTAGACATAAGAATCCTTGACCCCTCCCATCCACTCCCAAACAGTACCACCGACTCTCAAGCAATATTGAGGCTGGAGTGGGGTTTCGCGGGTACTGCAATCAGCACTCCCGCAGTTTTCAAAGATGGCGATAAAAGCGTCTTGATTAAGCCGGCACATACACAGTGGGTTCATGAAATAGATGATAAGATACGAAATCCTGGACCGAATGATTGTGATGAGGGTTACATGTATCCTGTGGAGGGTACAAGCGAAGTTTTAGAAAAGGGTGCTATGGTGAATCCGGACACTGGGGTAGTGGAAGACTATGAAGAATTATGGGAGGATCTCGAGGTTGCAATGATGGAAGGAGAGAAGAGTGATTATTTTATGAGTTGGGTGCTGAAGACGAAAGATGCTGGTAAAGTAAATGGAATGGTAATTAGGATTGGCGAGTGGGTACAGGGGGTCATGAGAAAGGGGGATGACTTCTCTGTTGTTAGGTGGAAATGGACTATCGAAGAGGGATGGAAAAGAGTGTTGGCGATTGGTGAAGATTTTGGACTCGATAGCAAAGTCTTTGAGAAAGAGATATCTGTGGGTGACAGCATCAAGGTCGATAGCGGCGTGGAGTGGGAATTCAAAAGCTGTCACAAACACAGGAAGTAAGCAAGGGAGGCCGAGAGCCAGTTAGTCAGTTTCGAATCTTTTGATTAATATTATGATTCCCATGGAAGAATGATATTTCATTTTGTCCTCTGGTTGTGGCCAATGAGCTACGACCTTGGAGTCTACTCCGCATTGGCATATTTACATTCCTGTTGAGGAATGTCAATATCTCTTCTCAGAATCTATAAGTATAGGATTTAACTTCAAAGCAAACAATTGATTCTTACGGCAACACGTATCCCTCATTTTCATTGCATTCAATTCTGTCTGTCTTTTATTTGTCTTGAATTTTTAAGTGACTATGCCCTGGTTATCACGCAACAGCAGTGCCGTGAATTCCATTGGAGACATGATGGCGGTCCCATCACTACCTGTTGCCCCGGCGAAGATGTCGCCATCCTCTTCGATGGTAGTCACAGTCATTCCTTCTATCATCGATCCTACATGCGGGACATCACCCGCTCAATATCGTCATTCGACAATGGAAGTCCTCTGGAATTCTATGCAAATACTTTCTCGCAATTTGTACTGCATTCCCCAGATGATGGGATCTTTCACTTTTAGTGTGGCCCAAACGATTCCTAAGAGCTCAGGGAGGGATATGTATGAGATGGTCATTCAGTGTATGTTATGTGTCATGGAGTCTTGGGCAATGCTTATGGTCATACCGGCATTCTTGACGATGCCTGGAGCGATGTTCATGATGTGTTGTGCGGCTATGTGGGGGGCTATGATGGGGATGTCATGGCTATTAAGAGGAAACGAGAGAATTTGTGAAAGTGTAATGCCTATTGGAGACTTTGGGGACGAAAAAATGGATTTTTGTTAACGGGAGTAGTACGAGGTAGGCAGATCACCCTCCAGAAAATGAGTATTTGTGCACATCACTCATATTGGAATAGCTACACTCAAATGATGCATCACCTCACTCGGCTGAGTATCATTTTCCACCGCCGCATGACCGGAATCCACAATCGCACTTTGGGGCTCCCCCTCGATCTTCTCCTCCACTTCCTTTCCATCACCATGCCCATCCACCGCACCCTGTACTCGCAACTTCGCGAAACTCTTTTGTCACCGAGTATACAAAAAGTTGTCATTCTTTCACATTCAACCGGCTCCAAGATCGTCTCTGATATTCTCGACCAGCTGCACGGCGATCTACCAGCTAGTCTAATGGCAAAATTGGAGATCTATACTTTCGGAGCTGCAGGTGGTTCTTTCTCGAATCCGCTGGTCAATTCGCTATGTATGGAACTTGGCGCTCTTGCAGAGAATGACAATACTAACATGAAAGCTTCTTATGAACGTGTAATACCTGTAAGCATCTCTCTATCATTCCATACCAATGCATAATTGATCGTGAGAATAGCATATCGAACATTACCTTCCTCTTACATCTTCGCCGCTATCTACTATGTCGATTTTGCATCCGGTCTTACATACTCTAGACTCTCGATTCTGCGGCAGAATGTTCATCTTGAATGGGTTTCACCCAGTTTTATTCGAGCAATATTTGGATATGATGTTCACTTGGCGGAAATCGGTCAATTCGGTCGACGGGTCCGAAACCCGAGGATTCTGGGATGAAATGGTCCGAGTTGATGGAGAGACAGCTGAAAAGAGAGAATTTACCGCGGGCGCAAGAGGCGCAGCGGGTATGGGAAAGGGCGAGAGGAGATGGAGTGGCATGATGCAGATGGAGAAGGAGGGGAAGAGAAGACCGGGTGGTTGGAGCTGGTCGAAGATGGGGATGGATGGGGTGGGAATGGCGAGGAGGGAGGCGAAGGCTTTGGAGGGAAAGAGAATGAGAGAGGTGGCGAGGTTGGGTGGTTATGAAGGGGGTGAAAGATTGAGTGTGGGCTGGTTTGAGGGAAAAGGAATGATGGGGTTAGAGAAGAGGATGGCGAATGGCGGCCGGTGAAATTGAGGGTAAGTGATGATGTAGGAACTGTGGATGGAATTGAGTGCGATCTTGAGGGTGGGGATGAAGTGGAAGTTGATAATTCTGGGGATTCTCGCAATTTTACGGTAGATATCAACGGAGGCAGCTCGGTTTTTGAGAACAACGAAGAAGAAACCGACGTTGATTTGGATATGTTGGTAGCAGTGTGGTTTTAACGAGGTCTGTTCTTAATTATAACTTTTTAATATTACGGAAATATGTATTTGAACTTTTGTTTTTTGATAGTACCACATTAAACCTCGCGTGCTCCGATCTCTAGTTTGAAATTATCAGGCTTTATGCAGTGTCAATCCTGGATCAATATGTAGCTGAGATTGAGGATCATCAACTGGAGCTTGCAGGACTTCAATGCCATTACCCCTAAAAAGCAATGTTAAGAAAATACAAAACTCACAAAGACAATACTTCAAAGTAAAAGTGACGACAGTCACAAAACAATGAGTATTTTAGGACTTGATCAAACAACCATACCAGCGGTGCGCTTGGATCTGGACCGTTCCTTCGCTTTCTTTATTTTGCCGTGAACCAGTGTTTCATTGCCGTCGTCAGACGATGTCGCTGAGTTCGTTCGGCCCGACCCATAACGCACATGAACATCATGATGCCCTACATTTACATGAAAACTATCTCTTGATCTGTCCAGGGAGCTTGTATCAGAATATCTAGACATCGACGATGCAATCGATGACCGTCTGCCCGGATTCGACGAATTCATATCGGAACGCTGAGAAACATATTCTGAGTCGAGACCAGGATCTGAAGCTGCGCTACATAAAGGTTTTATTCTCCCTGTTCTCGAATGAGATCTTTTGCTAGACGCTGCTTCGGCTTCATGATTTTTGTCTGTAGATTTCAGGGTTTGAATGCCGTTGTGGGGGTTGCGCTCGATTTTCGGGTTTGAACGACTAGATTTATGAGTACGCGGACCGGCTTGTTTATTGTGCCCTTTGGAAATTGCACGAAGATTCTCTTGGGTCAGTGGCATTATAGGATACTCTTATTCGGCTGGAGCCTGAGAGATATGCTGCTCTATAGATTTGTGTAATTTGTGCGCTGCAGATGTTGTCTTTTCCTGTTTTAACGGAGGTGCTTGATTATATTCCTTGTAGAAACTAACATTACTCCACGAATGCCTGGATGAATTTGCACTCCTAGTTCCTCTTTTCCTCTTGATGAAATTAGAATGCCGTCTCTGTGTAGCCCGCCATGGAGAATATTTCGGTTCGAAGCAGTGTGCATGGATAAGATCATGAGTAACAAAATCGATGTACATAGTATGATCTTTCTTCATCTCCTGAGATACGGGGAGGTGTTCAAAGGTTCTTCTAAAATCAACAATCTGGCGTCCCCTAACAATTCCAACTTCTTTGGAAACTACAAGCTCATCTTTTTCGAGCATGTCGTGTTCATTGTCTTCTTCGCTGGATGGTGCCACTTTTTGACCATCACAAAGTACACCTGATAATAATAGTATACCGTGCTCGCTGATAAGAATGTGTTGTTCACGCCGTTTTAGATTTTGAGTAGCCTCAATCGCTGTGCTATCTCTAGACTTTTTGAATTTAGGCACACTACTTTTCAGATTTAGAATGTCGATATACTATGCCACTAAAACGAAGCCAGGAACAAGCGGGTATCTTTTAGTGTGAACCTTGAATTCCTCTTCAGAACTGAAAGTGTTTAGAGGAAGTGAAGGCATGGTCTAAGAACGTGCTATCTGGGCTGCAAGTTAGCTACCTTTGTTTGGAATATATTCTAAAACATACATTATGTCAAATGATCGTCTGTCGCTACGAAGAAAGAGTTAGGTAACAAATTTTCCTGAGACTACCTGATCTTAACATCTGTATTTAATGGGTCATGTCTTTTGGTGGTCGTGTTACTGTTAGCGTACGCGACCCAAGTCCCAAGAGAATCAAATCATAGACAACGTGTCAGCGACTTAAATAACTTGAAGCATATAACGGGCCGGCTGACCAGGTCTTTTGATTTATCCCTTCTCTTTGTGTTTTGTGGATATCGAATTTGTTTGTGTGTTTATGTTCATTTGTCAGAGGCTCTAAAGTCGGAAAGCGAGGAACTCTGACGGGTAATTGGGTGACCCAAATCCATTGGAAAGTCTAAGATAAGGTGTTCCTCTAGGAATACAGTCCTGTTTATTAGTTTGAGGACTGATTAGGACATTATTTGGGTTATGGAAGTAGTGTAGGCGTGACGGTGGCCCCCCAAGGAGTGGACCCATGAGCATTGCTCCATCAAATTAATGGTTTTCCTTCCAACCTTTTCACGATTTATTCCTCAACCTTCAGTCTAATAACTTCAGAATAGTGAACTACCGTTTCAATGTACTTCCCGGAACTACACCCAAATGTCTCTCTTGAGCTTTACGAATGGGTTTGTTCCCTATGAAAATGCACTTCACCCAAATATCGCGGCGTTTGTATCGATAGACTTTCACAGTGTCAATCTAAAGTTAAGTATCACACAATTGTATCTAGCCCTTCCTTTTTGATAATCACTGTACTGAATGAAAAACTCACACTGTCGTTTTGCTGCAGGTTCATGTTTTCCGGTAAAAAAGACACCACTGAACCTTTACATGCCATCGCACGACGTGTGGTCAAAAACTAAAAACTTTATGTGCGTAGCGGGTGTATTTCCGACCTTGTAAACCGAATCATATAAAATGTGAGGCAGGCACTGCTGCGGATTGCATTGTTATCAAGCAGCCAGCAATTTGGCCTGTGTAGGATTGCATCGCGATGACATTTGCGTATTGAAATAAGCGCCGACCACCAGGCCTACAATACCTACAGGGCTGGATAACAAAGACCATCAAAATGTACGCAGCTAGTCCAGTCAAGGATGGCGGAGGATGTTATTGTTGTTGATTAAAGACTTATACGATGTTTCTACATCATTGAAAGAAAGGACTGTTCAATTGGTTTGAGACCACCAATCACTCGTGGAACCGCATTCAGGAAATCATCATATTTGCAATCTAGATTTTAGATTATTCTTGGATCCAATAATCCACCATCTACTCGAACATGAGGTTAAGGGGTAGGAAACATCGCTCGTAAGTTTACCACTTTCTACATACACCCATACAGAAGTTCCGCTAATCACTAGTCATTTTATCAAGAGAACCTAGTGAAAAGGGAGAAGATAAAGACAGGAAATATAGTGTCTACGCCAGCGAGTGTATGCTTTTACCTGGCTACATAGAGCAATCAATCACACTCGATGAGGGTACCAAAAAAACGGGTAGAGACATTTGGAAACGCTCGATCAGATTCGAAGTAGACCCGAAGTCAGTCAAGAGAGACGGTGAACACGGGCATATTTACCGTGGTTACTCACAGTCACATCGACTTGGCAGAACAGCACCAGGAAAGCTGAAGTCTTTCAAGAAATAGTCAAGAGCATACACAAAGATATGGAGCAAAAGATAGAAGATAGTCATCGCTGCGGAAAGCTTGATTATATAAGTGACGTCCTCGAAGTAGCACTCAGTGAGGGAAGTTTGCTAGTTCATCAATGGAAATTGGAAGTTCTCGAGAACCCATTTGGCCGCCGCCGAAACTGGCAGGCTCAATTCATAAGACTTGGAGCCTGCGAAACTGGAATAAGGAAACGTGGGGAGAAGTACAAAAGACGAGACGTTAGTAGAGATGATACTTTTGGTCGGTTTAACAATTCCAGGGTTGCGAGAGGATTGGGGGTACAGCTAAGCAATAACGAGAAGAGAAGTCGAAAGCGGCACGACCGGATGAGACGTCCCCTCGCAAAGTGAGTCTGAATCTACGGGGTCGCGTGAAACTGCGTCAAGCGTTAACTCGTATTCCGGCCCTTCCCATGGAAGGCGGCGCCGCAGTTCACCTCGCCACTACGATGGCTATACTAGTGGACATAACGAAGACGACTCTTCAGACGACGACTCTGATACCAGATCGTATGCATCTTCGGGGTTTTCGAAACCAAGCCGCTCCTCAAGCTATGGTTCTAGAAGCTCTGTCGCTTCCGGATCTAGTCGGTCAAACTCAGAATACGGGTCAAGACATAGAAGTGGTCGTCACAACAAGTACCAGACCAATGATCAGCTTCGGAAGCCACCAAGTCATCAACCCGATTTCAAACACGGTTACGGGTCTATACCGCCAGATTATGGAACTAGACCGCCAGGTTATGGAACAATACCGCCCGAGGGTCTGCCTTATCCGGACGAACCGTACCCGGGAAGATCTCAGCCACATTATCCGTATGATGATAGAGCGGATTATACTTATGACGATGGAGCGGATAATCCGTACGATGATAGAGCTGATAATCCATATCGAAGATCGTGAGTCACGGCAAAGAACGAGAGAGAGGGTAGGTAGCAGTGAAGGAAGTAGTTGGGAGATAATGGTAAGTGGTTGTTCAATATGTCCCACAATTTTGGTACTGATAGGGCTGAGTTTTGTTATTGTTTCATTTCCTTTCTTACTATTGTTCATTATATGTATGATCTCTTCACGTTAATATACTTCATTACTTGGGAACATCTTATTTACCCATGTTTTTTTTTTCAAATCTGTTGTATCTACTTGTACAAAAGAGCTTGCAGTGTCATTGAAGGGCACTTCCAGGGCACTTCCCGCATCGAGAAACTACGCACACAATCAGATATTAAGTTTTGATTTCAAACGAATAAACATGATTATAATGGTGAATATTAGAAAGGATCGCTAGCTCAATAATGCTGAACAGATCCCACAGGTCGATGGATCTCTTTGACAGATACAAAACCGTGGCCTATAAGAGGGCTGGCCGAGGTGCCCGCTCACATAACCTTATAACCTTCACATGCGCGCTTGCAGTGTTTCGAGAGTGTGTATAGAATCTGTATACTCAGCCCCCGGGCCACGACATGAACTCATAATCCACCTGGCCGAGCACCATATGATACTTATTAGAAGGACCTTACTGTATTACATTTTTCGTTTCTAGATTGCCAGCTAAACTTGACTGTCAAGACAAGACACTTTTAAGAACGTGAAACGAGCCTGTGTCATGTTTCTCACAGATAGATCATGAGCAATGTGTCTGGAAGACAACGTTGACACAAACAAGCTCCCACGAGACACTTCAATTAACAAAGGATACACTTGAGCCTAGACATAGATATCACATATACCGTAGTGTACCAGGTGAAGCACCCGGGGCAGGGTGCCGAAGTGTACTGTAGAGCCGCCATGAGAACCTGTATTTGCAGTTCCTCCTTCAGGTAGGATGAAAGATACCTAAACCACTACCTGGTAGTGATATAAGTCCCAATAGACCATGTGAAAAGGAACAACGACGATGCGCGAGACCAGATAATTTACTTTCAAATCCACGCCGCAATTAATCAGGTACGTAGAAAAGGTAAATATATAATAAATGAATGGGAAAGGCTTCAGAAGTTGTCAAGTGAGATCATGCTTCATTGAAGCGTTCATTCTCTTCCTATATGTTTGATACTTTGTATCGTTCATCACCAGCCATGATAATTATTAAAAATTTCAATGAAAGAATTTTTTAAAAGTTGGGACAAAAATAACAAAAATAACTAGCGTGGCGCTAAGCCTGTTTAGCTCTAAGTCATTCTTCACCCAGCGAAATGGTCTCTCGAGAGTCTTTCAGAGATTCCTTCTGGGTCATATGATATACGTACCTATATGTCAATGAAGATATTCCTGGCGGTGGATATATATTGAAATGAGATACCTCTCACTCAAGTTCCACCGCCATTTTCCCATTACGCCCACCAGCCTGTGTAAATTCTAATTTGTAAGTACTGTAGTTTTAATCGTCTAATGGTCAAACACCACCGGTCCAACACCACCCTTCATAAGAGATTTGGGCGCTCTTATGTGTATGTCGGAGGGAATTCAATTCGCCATAATGGAACGATGGAATGGGAATCATAGTGAAGCTTCTACAATACATTCATTGACTCGCATTATTAGCAATTCCTGAATATATACCTATAAATGCAATCCCTTCGAACCATATCATGAATTTTGTACGAATTGAGTGTTGCTGACTGTTCCAAGAATTCTTGCTTACCTAATGCGTGAAGCTCAAATTTCAGCCTCACCCGTACGTTCCTTTCTCTACCATCCACTACAATCTACATCAATGGTTTCTCTGCATTAATAATTTACACTTAAAGACTCTATACTCGAGACAATAAGAAACCACAATTCTCATTGTATAACTCTTCTTGAAAATACATCTTTCATCAAAAACTTCATTACAACTAACGCGACGATTATTATGGCTGACTTTCATTATGGAGGGACGGATGAGGAGTCTGCTGAGATCAAGAAGCTGAATGCTGAAGTTGTAGGTTTATCAATGTATTTCTATCGATTGCGCGTTTGCTGATCAGTGCTCTATCTATAGCTCGAAAATACGGATAATTTTGAAAATTGGGAGAAGCTTGTTCGCGCAGCAGAGACTCTGGAAGGAGGTTTAAATCGTAATTCAAGTCCACAAGCGATTGCGACAACCCGAGATTCTTACGATCGCTTCCTCGCGAAATTCCCCCTCCTGTTTGGATATTGGAAGAAATATGCAGATCTAGAATTCTCCATAGCTGGCACAGAAGCTGCTGAGATGGTGATTAAAGATAAACTGGAAGGCGATGAGCTATGTGCTGACATCTTTTAGGTCTTCGAAAGAGGTATCGCCAGTATAGCAACATCTGTGGACTTATGGACGGATTATTGTTCCTTCAAGGTTGAGACAAGTCATGATCCTGATGTGATCAGAGAGTAAGTATACTAGATGCTTTCCTTCCCTTAACACAGCATCTGCAGCATGGTCATACAGCCACATGAGCTACGTTCGGAGTTTTCATGGCTCACAAACGGTGAGAAATGCCAAAAAAAAGCTGCTCATGTTTGACTCTTCTCACCAACATGACCAGGATATCTTTCTGCTATCACAAGTTCGCTTTTGTCCCGTATCACTCTGCACACATTGTCGGCACGAGGAGGATATAAATATCATTGCATTTGTGCACACTGCCCTTCCCGTATTTGCACTCCTTGCCACCTTTCCATTCCCTCCCTTTTCAAAGTATGAGACGCATCTAACATTTTATATTAGGCTTTTCGAGCGTGGAGCCGTTGCAGTGGGATTGGACTTTCTTGCCCATCCTTTCTGGGACAAATACCTGGAATTTGAAGATCGACTGGAAGCCCAAGACAAGATTTTTGCTATTCTGAACCGAGTTGTGAAGATTCCTATGCATCAATATGCTAGATATTTTGAGCGTTTTCGCCAATTAGCTCACACTCGTCCACTGCTAGAGCTTCTTCCAGCCGAAACACTCGAACAATTCCGTGCCGATGTTATTTCCGAAAGTACCGGCTTCCAGGCCGGTCCAAAGGGAGAATTAGAGATTGAACGTGACATTAGAACCAAGATCGATAATTTCCATCTTGAAATTTTCGCTCGTACACAAGCGGAAACCACGAAGCGTTGGACGTACGAGTCTGAGATCAAGCGTCCTTATTTCCATGTCACCGAGCTCGATAATCAGCAACTTTCAAATTGGCGCAAATACTTGGACTTCGAAGAGGCTGAGGGTGATTATACCCGTGCTATTTTCTTATATGAAAGATGTCTAGTGACCTGCGCATTCTACGACGAGTTCTGGTTTCGCTACGCTCGGTGGATGTCATCAAAAGAGCGCAAGGAAGAAGAAGTCAGAAACATATACCAAAGAGCAAGCACACTCTATGTGCCGATCAGCAAACCCGGAATTAGATTGCAATACGCTTATTTCGAGGAGACATCCGGTCGTGTCGACGTTGCGAGGGATATTCACCAAGCTATTTTGGACCGCATGCCTGGTCATGTAGAGACTATAATTTCTTGGGCTAATCTTGAACGCCGACACAAAGGCCTTGACGCCGCGATTGAAGTCTACAAAGCACAAATTGCTTCAACAGAATTAGACATTTATTCCAAAGCAGCTTTCGTTGTTGAGTGGGCCATTTTATTGTGGAAGATTCAAGGATCTGTCGATGAAGCTCGTCAAGTTTTCCAAAAGAACACACAATGGTATCCTGAAAGCCGTCATTTCTGGACAAAGTACATGGAATTTGAGTTAGCGCAGCCAACTAACTCAGCCTCGGAATCCGAGCACCATGAAAGGCTCAAGCAAATTCATAGTGATATGATCAAGACATCCATGAGGTTGGATACAAAGAAGGAGATCAGTAATCTATACTTGATGTACCTAAGAGAAAGAGGTTCTAAGGAAACCATGAAGGAATTTTTACAGATTGATCGCGAACTGAACGGGTAAGCAGCTTTTCCGATTCTATAGAGTACCATACTAACAGACCATAGACCTATATCAGTTCAGCCCGACTATGTCAAAGCGACTGAATTGGGAAAAGCAACAGCAAACGGAACCATTCCGGGCGTTGACTCGGCTTCTTCATTGAAAGGCGAAGTCAGATACACTACATACTTTCAACAGCGCAAGCAACCACTAACTATTGATCCGCAAGGCCTTGCATCTTTCCATTAGATCGTTGCATTGCTGCTTGTGAGAATTATCAGTGTTGCCGCCGGGTCTTAATAAGTTCGACCAGGCAACGTGTACAATAGTATCCTTATCAGCCTTGCGATTGGTTCGGAATAAACTCCTCGACTTTTTCTCTTCTTTCTCCTTGAATGCCGGATAAATATAACTTAGGCAGCTTAATGATTAGAGTGGCGGTTTTGGGATTCCGTAAAGATCTGCCTACAAGGTTTCCTTTTCTTCACATAGTTGATAGATATAAAAGCAATTTTTCACCCATATCTTAGGACAAGATTTATGCACTGTTGTGATTATCATTGATTGAGGTACCGTTAATCTCTGAGCCACATACTCCATTCTCTACTATCTTCTAATATGCATTCGTTCATCTCAATAAACATACCTGAAGTTGGGATTCTCTCTATCCGTCAAATCATCAAAAGCGTGCACCATGTCTCTATCATTGGCCTCCCTCACTCCTGCCTCTGCCAACTCATCTCTCTTCTTATTTTCCCTCATCAAGTGCCATCTAAGATAGATTAACACCAGAAGAAGTAATATGTAACAGCCAAGATGGGTAGCAAATGCGATAAAATAGCGTGGCGCATCATTCTTCAGGAAAACCTGAGGACCCACTGCATTTCCGGCCGCCCAACTTATGAAATTTGCAGCCACGACGATGGTTTTCTTGGTTTGACCCGCGACGTTACGGGACATGAGAGTCAGGGCAAGAGTGGCAGTGGACCAGAAAGAGAGCGTTATGTAGTAGGAAATTAAAAG